TTACATTCAGAATTAATATTGCTACCATAAAGCAATAATTATGTATTTGGGGGGGAAGGGGAGAAGGGAGAGGGGAATCAAAATTGATTGCAACCAATTTAGCAGACAGTCAGAAAATCAGCACCTTGAAACGATGCATTATGAGCAGCATAATATGAATTAACATACCTATCACGACAAATGACCCAGAAAGATCACTGATGTTTAAGGCTGCCAGATATTTCCTTATAGAAGACTCATTTTTCATTTTCTTTTAAGTTCCCAAAGGCCTTCCAAGATGACCCCTTCTGTGGGTGTATCCATCACAAAGCTCAGCTCCTTCCATATTTTCATTTTAAGCAAAACATACATTTTTCACCTTTCCAAAGACAGGGGCAGGAAAAACACACTTGCACATTACCAAAGGCTATCTTTTCTAAAGAAAGTTTAATCATTTGCATGCTTTGAGATCCACATGCATCTTCCTAAGAGACAGCAAAAGGTATATCCTGAATGACAACTGATGCTTTTGTCAAGCTGACTGCAACTTGGTTATTTTGTTTTGGTGCGTTACAGCTGAGTCACCTAAACATTCTGCCTGTATTGACTGCATTCCAACAGAAAGCCTCTGGGAGCCGAGCACCTGCAGCGCTGGATGCATGGGACAATCAGTGTTGGAAGGGACTCCCACACGTTCCTCATTCGACCACCTTCTCCAACTCATGTCAACTATAAGATCAGATCAAGTAGCTCAGCTTGTTGTGCAGTTGGGCACCGAAAACCTTTTAGACAGAGAGCAATCTGTGAGCAGTCACTTCTGTGAGAAACACTTCCACTGTATGACTACGCTCATGCAAAGGAAGTTTTTCCTTATATCCAGTCTGAATCTTGTGTCAACTTACGATCACTGCCCCTTTCACTCCCACCACGCAGCTCAGTAAAGAGCACTGCTCCATCTTCTCCCAGATCTCCTCAAAGGTACCAGAACATTGTTGTTGCATCCCCTGAAACTGCCCCTTCACCAGCAGAACAAGCCCAGGTGTTTCAGCCTCTCCTCATAGTGCGAGCGCTCCAGCCCCTAACCATCCTAACAGCCCTCTCCTGAACTCACTTTAGTTTTTATCAGCGCCTTTCCTGTGTTGAGGGTCTCAAGCCTGGATACAGCACTGCAGATGTGATCTGATGGGTTTCAAGGAGAGAGGGATAATCCCTCTCCTCCACCCAATGGCTGTGCTCCTGTTGGATCAACACACCACTGCTGGCCCATGATGTTTGCTGCCACAGCTTCCCAGAGGAGCTACTGTGCAGCCCATATCACTGCAAGGAGCCCTTCCTTCCCAGGCACAAGGCTTTGCAATTGGCCTGGGTGAATTGGCAATTGTTGAATTTCATAAAGTTTTGGCTGGGCCTTTTCTCCATGGTGCAAAAGTGCCCCTGCATGCCAGCCCTGCCTTCATGCTCATAGACCTCAATGTGGTACCTTCCACAAACGTAAGAGAATATTCCATCACCTTCTCAAGGTCTCAGAATCAATGCCAAAGCATCCCATTTGTTACTGACATCCAGATATGAGCCATTAACCACTACTCTGAGTCCAGTCATTGAAGCATTGCTCCTCTGTACTCCGTCCTTCCACTGCTTTAATATTCCTTTCTTTCACAGGAGATCAGACACCAAGATCATCTCCTGATATGTCTGCTCATTTTTTGAGTATCAAGATGGACCACTGGCATCTGAACTGTTGTTTCTCAGTGATATCCCATGGGTACTGTTCCTTGTAGGCAAGTTTTTTTGTTTTTTGTTTTTTGTTTTTTAAATGAAGAAGTTATTAGGTAATTAAAATTTTGGACTTCATATGTCAGTGCTAACTTCACAGTAGATCTAAACATTTAAATCAAACAGTCTAAATCGACAGACACCAAACGACAAATCAAGCAGTGAGAACTTCTGTAGCGAGGCCATTCACAGATCCCTGCTAAGTAACTTACAGAAAAAAGGTCAGAAGGAAAAGGCAGGCTGTGGTTAGTGAATTACACAGGGAGACAGATCTGTTTTAGAAAGCATTTCAGTGCATGCAGATCATTAAAGCACTGCTAATTTTGAAAAATGTCCTAAGAGCCCCAAATTGGATACTCAACATGAAGGGACACAACACCCCTCCAGAGAACTGTGACAATATTTCTAGAGAAACATGCAAGGGCTGGAGTCTGATGGCAATGAAACAGGAGAAGAGGAAGGTAACGAGGTGCCATAAGAGCAGCACATAACAAATAGTGAGGCCATTGGTACCAAGAAAAATAACTACTCCATGTTGGTCACTGAACACAACCAGTGTCGTTCTACTCCAAACAATAAAAGACATGTTGTAGGGGAAAACACAACAATTAACCACATATTTACAGGCCAAATTGCAGTTTGACAAGAATCTCTGGCGTTTTGTAATTTATGAAAGCTTGATCTTGCAACTTCAAAGTTCTTTGAAGATGCCTGTTGTTGCACAATAGAAAAACATATGCATGATTTTCTTTAAGAAGCACACATATCACTTCGTCTGCAGATTACATTTGGCCTATAAAAGGGATGCATATTAATGCAATCATACACAGCATGCATCATCTACATTTGTTTTCCTTACTGTATTGGAAGCATACTCTGTGACCAAAAAGCAAGCTTTACGTAAGTCTAGAAGAAAAGAAAGTCCCATTTTACTTTGACACTAGCTCCCCCTCCAGACCGCCCTAACAGAGTCATTACTTTTTTTTTTTTTTAAATTCTGACTCTGCAATGAAATTTAAAAGCTTTCTTTATCCCTTCAAATCTCAATGAACACACTGATCAAAGAATGTAAGCGCAAAAATATCTTCTATTATTTCTTACTGTACATAAATTCCAGGGCTGAAAAAAATCATTCGATTCAAGAGAGATGTGACAGATAAAGAGGCAAATCTGTACAGCTACAGAGAGACAGGAGTGGACTGAAAATGCAATTTTTCAGACCAATCCTATGAATGGGTAATATCGTAACTTCATTATACAATCAAGCCTCTGTTTGAGAGCGTTCATAAACCACAGATGCCAAAACAAAAGGAAGTCACTATGTGGTTTCGTACTACCTTCACTAATTCACTTAAAATATAGATCTGTATTCCGTCAAGATTAACTAATGTATTTTTCTTGTTCTAATAGACATAACGTCTTACAACTTGCTCAGCTAACACCTCTTGGTTTGTTTAGAATTTTGCCAGTTATAAAGAAAATGAAAGTTCCAACTTGCAACCAGACCTGCTGCATTTCTATGCTACCAAGTGTCCTGGCAGCAGCATCACTCAATTAGTCAATTTGCATGATTTGATATTCCTAGACGATTCCTACTCTCCCCTCATTACTGAGCTGCTTCCTCAGAAAATATGAATAATTGATTAAACTTTCAATACTGAAAAATGGTTGTCTCGTTATATTTTGTTGGGAAAATATGCAAACTTTGCAATATCATGGTTTGCCAGCTTTAGCACATGAAACACTAACAAGTATCGTAAAAGCACAAGACTAAGCATACCTGTAATAACCAGAGAAATGGATATTACTGGAAATACTTAAAGCATAGTCACCAATTGATAAGTCCTAATAACTGGGCTTCTTTAATAATGGAAGGAATTGTAACAGAGGCATCTGTAAAATAGCCACAAGCAGCAGCATAGCCAACGTTGACCATTTATTTGTTTCTGGATCTCAGACTTCTCTAAAGTTTATGATAACGTACACTGGAGAGTAACTTGGAACAAAATTTGACTAATGCTATCACATCCAAAAATGCTTCATGCGTAAGCACTCGTTCTGAAGCATTTACTCCATCAGCTTTCAGTTAACGCCTAGAAACAAAGACATCAAAACACTGCATTTTGGCGTGAAGCGTTGGTGCGCGCTTACTTAATGATGTACACACAAACACTATTTATATCACAGACAAAGTCGTGAGCGTTCTGAACACCTGCCTGCTGTCCCCTTCCACACCCAAGCAGCGCATGGACCACAGCACCTGACATCACCTTGCTGAACGTTACACCGTGCCGGGCACCCTGCGTACAAAGGCTAGCACTGCCCCAAGGAACTTAGGATCTTTCAGTGCGTCAGCTGACGGCTGTGCCTCGAGGCTCTTCGGTACCACCTGGAGCACAGCGCGAGGCAGCAAACAGCGCCGAGCAGCAGCAGCAAACAGCACCGAGTAACAGTGCGACTGACGAGATGCTCAGCCCAACCCCGCAACTCGCTCACCGCTCTTCCCTCCGCAACCGCCTATTCTGTCCCCTCAAGTCAGGAGCTTCCGAAAGCAGAGGCTCACGAGCCCGGCCTCCGGAGAACACCAGGGACACCGAGCACATACATGTGCGACGGACCCGAGACATTGAGCGCAAACTTGAGAGGAAAAAAAGGCCTCATCACCAACAAAGCCCGCGACCGAAGCAAGTAAACGTACTGAAACGCGGTAAAGGTCGCCCGTGGCAGCCGGCGCGGCTCCACACCCCGTGAGAGCGAGCGCTTCCCCCGGCTGCCCGCCGGCCCCGGGTTCCGCCTCCATCTCCCAGCCCGGGGCGGCGCGTCCCCTCGGGCGGCCGCGGTTCCCGGGACGGCGAAACGGCCCGGCGCCCGTCCCCGCCACGGGCACCCCGCCGCCCCCCGGGCCCGGCCCGGCCCCGCAACCTCCGGCGGTGTCGCGGCCGCCGCTCGCCGCCCCAGCCTCCCGTTCCCCGCCGGGCGGAGGCGGCTCAGGCCCCGGCGTCGCTCCGCAGGTGAGGAGCGGGCGGGGAGCGGCGCGCGGCGGGGGGCGGCCCCCTGCCCCCTCCCCCATTTCCCCTCCCCGGCGGTGGCAGCGGCGGCGGTTGCCGAGCAGCACCGGAGTCGCGGCGGCGGCGGCGCCAGGCCCGGGGGAAGGGATGGGGAGCGCGGGCTGGAGCAGCCCGCTCCGGGCTCGGCATCCGCTTCCCCGCCTCCGCGGTTCGCGCGCAGCCCCCGCATCCCCTTACCCGAGTGCGGCGCCGCCGGCGGGGCCTGCGCTGCCGCGGCCGAAGCTGCGGGGCGCGAGGAGACGCTGAGGCGAGGGGAACGGACGCCCGGCTGCGGGGACGGAAGCGGGAACCCGCCGTCGCGTAGCGGAGCCGCCGGCGGACTGAGACGGCGCGCGAGACGCTGACAGGGCGCGCGCGCCGAGGGCGGGGAGCGCTCGCGCGAGTGGCTGACAACAAGGAGCGCGCGGGGCGTGCGCCGGGCGGCGAGCGCGGCGGGAGCAACCGACGGCGCTCGCCCGCTCGCGCACGCCCCCGCGCGCCCTACTCGGAAGAGCTCCGTCGCGGGCGCGCGCCCGCCGGCGGGAGGCAACCTATGAGCGAGCGAGGCGGCCTCCCGATGCTGCCCGAGCGATCTCGTCACGCAGCGCTGAGCTCGCGGGGCGCATGCGCCTCTCGGGGGCATCCCTCCCCGAGCCGCCCGCTCCGCGTGCCCCCACATCAAAGGCCGGGCGCGAGCCGACGGCCGGCTCCGCTCCCGCGCCGCCGGGCGGAGGTGCGGCTCCCTCCGCTCCCTTCGGGTAGCTCACCGAGGCCGGCAGCCCCGCGCTCGCAACGGGCAGATACCGGCCAGCAGGGACTCTCCATCTTGCACGAGGAACGGCGATGACTGCGGTGTCTGGGGGGCGGAAAGAAGGGTTAGGGAATTCTGTGCCCCGGCAACCTTCTGGAGAGATCTGGAAAGGCAGAGATAACGAAAATATGTTTTCCTTTGGGTTCTAATTCCTGCCGACTCCAGAGATCAATTTAGAAATTGAAACGGTAAGCGGATTGCCAATGGCTCTCAAGTATTGAGCTGCTGCTGCTAGCCGCTATTAATGGATGGATATAATTACTATCAATTATATTGCCTGCAGGCTTAGCCGACAACTCGGATTCTAAAACCCATGGGGACAAGGGAATGGCTTGCACTGGTAGAAGAGTAAAAGAGTTGCTAGAGAGGTTTCCCATTTGTGATGTAGAGCCATCAGTGAACTCGTGCTGAGATAGATAAGAAGAAATTAAGAAAAAATGAACTGTCATTAACAACCTTAAACTTGTTATCC